CTGGGCAATGTGCTAGACTTGCTTAATGTTAGTGACTGTTTACTTGACTGTTCTGTTGGGTTATACATTATTTAAATCAAATAAACGGATCAAGTGATCTTTCACCTGCCTTCATTAATTTCGAAAAATCTAAAATTTTCTAAACCCAAATTTGAGCTGAAGGTTGAAATTTTCTGTGTGGATCATAAAACACGTAGTTAATAATTGTTGCAAATTTGGAGACGTTCCAGTGACTTTCAAAAGAGAAATCATGAAAAAACCGTTTGTTCATAAATTTCTGGCCACTACTGTATGCTTCTTGAGTGGTCGATCTTGCGCCTTGGCGACAAAGATCTAGGTAAGCCTTGTAGCCCTCTTGGTTCAATCGATACCGCCTGTTGGTTTAGTAGTCTGGAGAAATTGTCTTCAGGATTGTTTGGCTCATGAAAGGATCGGTCTCAATTGCTTTTCGACTTTTCAGGCTCTGACGAAGGCGAAGAGGCCGAAACGTAAGCCTAATAAAAAAAAGAGAAAGCCGTTCTTGGACAGAAAGTGATAACAACTGATAAGGGCTGATAAGATTGATCAGGTTAAAAATGAAGAGCCGCTAAAGTTGTTATCTAGATGGCGACAAAAAATACTATTTAGTTTGCGATTTCGTCGTTACCATCGAGATTGCTTAGACCGCTAATCTTTCCGAGCTTTCTGGGATGGTCGGTGTTTGTGCATAATAAGTGTTGGTGCTTCTCTTTCAATGCCATAGGACGTAAGAATTGCAACCGCTAGAATATCTCAACATCCAAAGCATGATAGTTGTTCATGCAAAGTCCTGATAGCGTAAACAACTATCGTGAACAAAGGTATTAGTTATCTGAGCTTATTCGGCCGCTAGACCATGTTAGTTTCCGAAAAATGATGGATGTTTGTGGGGTTGACGAGCTCCCGTAAATAATTGCTTTATCACCAGCAGTATAGTCACCTTCGTTGATAACATCTCTCAGATTCATCAAAAGCATGAGTGCTGTTCAACACAAGGAGCCCGGCTGTGCTCATTTTTGTTACCGCCTATGTACTTTGACGCGGTAGCGAGCGAAGCCAAACTCATTAAACCGCTCAACTTTAGGATTTGCGAAAGTGTGAATGTAAAGCAAAGATAAGCATCAGATCTCACTTTTTATAAGGAGCATATTTCATTTTCATTCTAAGGCTAACAGCAAAACTCTAATCACCGCTAAATTGTCAGGATTCAAGAAAAATGCTAGGTGTTTACGAGTTGTGATAAATATACCGACTCAGCTTCGCATTCACGCGCATGTATGATGGACTTCAATGAAAGTGGAGATCCTCCAACCTCAGGTCACTCCACTGACATATCCAATAGTGAGCTGCTTTGTGGAGTAGATCACCAGATGTTCCTTAAGTCCTCCAGTTTCGCTGAAGCCTACCGTGTTATGCGCGCGATAGCGGGCGGACCAAACTGGTAATTTTATTAATAGGACTCTTTTCCTCCGACATAGTATTTTTGCCCACATCCTTGATATTCAACCATGTATACCCACCCTTTACGCTAACGTATTTTGGTGCCATTGCATAGCTACAACCCTCCCTGCCGCACATTTTCCTCATAGGGCCTTGAGTATGTGGGTTTGAGATTCGTGGCGGACGGAATTAATCGTATTGGAAAATGACTTTGATCCACTGCGCGACATTTTAACCCGTTTGACGGAACCGGCTCGTTTGGCTGTCTGCGGTATACACCTGCGCGCCTTATTTGACCCGCGATAATTGTGCAGGCATGCATGTCACACGGTCCCACGAGAACACCTCTTTTGGGGAACTGTTTGTTTGCTATCGTTCTTGTGTGGTGAGTCTCGGATTTCGATTTTGGTCAGTTCAGCTATTCCTGCGATTTGGGAATGCGTGGAAAGGGCCAAAGCTAACGTGCAATTAAGAGAGCACACTCCCAGAAACTCTTTCTGGTCCCCGTATCTCCAGCTTACAATACAATCGTTGGATTATAATCGGACTTACATGTCGAAAACCACTCATAGACTGGATGGTCTGCGAGAAAGGTGGAACAGCGGCAAATGAAACGGCCCAAGACCATGCACGAAGTGCTCAACTATGCAGCGATCAGAGGGCACGCCCATATGTCCCGTCTCCGACCACAACTGTGCCTCACTCCACTGCCACGCCACAACTTCGCCTTATTCCCGCAAACAGTTTTGTAACCGATTAATTTTCCGCCTAGCGCAAACCCACGTGCGACCCTGATCATTATTCCAAACATTTTTGTTGCACAAAGTGCTTCTCGAAGTTCGACATTTGCGAGTGAATCTTGGCATATTTTCAGAAAGAATCAGTTCATTCAATACCCGCGGGTCTTCCCTGAGCGGCGGGGTCGGGGGCTACTGCATAGTAATCAATAATAAGGGTTCAGGGGGTTCAGCGGCGCGCCTAGCCTCGAGAGGTCTTTTGAGTGATCTACATGATCAACCCTCCGGAGGTCCCTAAAGCAAATGACCCTAAGGCTTTACCTATTTAAGCCACGTTACTACCAGCTCGGGGTGGCAGGTGGACCTCTCTGGCCAGCATCTCTAAAGGTTCGTTCTCATCTCCCTCCATGACATTGTTTTAGTAGTTTACTCCCTGTTGAATGAATCTTGTAGGTTGAAATAGTGTTTGGACGGGTAGTTTCCTAAATAGCTTTCGACTTTTCCAGGCTCTGAAGAAGGTGAAAGCACCGAAACGTCGGCCAAATAAAGCTATTGACAATCTTGGTCGGAAGCTCAGTACTAAACTATTCTATTTTTGTGAAAAACTATAGGGCCCATTTACCGAAGCTTCTTCCTAGGGACCACGCCTTTGGTAACAATGACTAAGCATAGCGTATACCTCCCATAAATAAGTTACCTCGAATGTTGAAAACCAGCTCTAAAAAGACTACTGACGTGACATCATGTCACACGGTCCCACGCGGCCGAAAGTGTGGTATGACATCATGTTCCACGGTCGCCCATACGTGTTCATGGGTGCTTTGTCGACATACTGCCAACCACCCATGGATCCGTCCATCTGATGTGGTGTGTCTCCATCTATGCTATATGGTGTTTTCACATAACCGTTTTAACACGTTGACGACATCGCGCGTTTTGGCATTTTTGGCCGCGTGGGACCAGAGCGGTTCTGCGAGCGCCGCCGCCTCACAACAAATCTGTGGATTTTGAGCTTTAAATACGCAATACTTCGATGCGACAAAATGTTTTCACTGATATTCGGTGTGTCAAACTTATTGGAAGGTACACATGTGAAAACCAAAAGCTGGTCGGTCGAATGAAGTGTTTACAGCAAATTGTACAAAGCAGTTTTCACTTACTTGCTTTAAGTGTTTCGCAATTTTTTGACGTGTTGCTTTTGCCGGTCCAAAACACATATCTTTGTTCAGCACGACTCACTTCCTAAATTCTTTTTTATCTACATCTTCGCTTAATAGAGAAATGGGCATACATTATACGAATCTCTGCCAAACTAAAGAATATTTGGTCATTCTATAAGCCGCGTGGTTCTTGGTTATGTTGTGGTATGGCCTAAAAAATGAACACAAAAAACCTGGGAAGAAATGGCGCGTTCAAGAAAAAACTGAATGTAAAGGGTGTGGCAACTATAGTTGCCACAATGTCCATTGCGGCGTGCAAAACGCGGCAAACCTAGTTGCCGCGCTGTCGTCAAGGTGTTAATTATACGAAAAGATCATTTGGACGAATTATGAAGCCGAACAACTCGGCGGTGGTGGTCCGAGCTTCTGGGTTAGAGCTCGCAGAACTTTCCTTCGCGAGGTGTTCCTTTACTACTGTCTGGAAGATTTCTGAAAAAACTTTTCGCAAGTTATGTCTACAGCGGTTACCCGAAATGACTGCAGGAATGGGAGCAGTTGTTGAGAATTAGGCACTTTTACATGGTCAACTTTTTTGAAAGCTAGGTAAATTTCACAAACCCTGCTAAAAGTCACTCCAAGGGGTAATTTCACACTTATAACAGATATTACACTCGTTTCTAAGCAAAAACGTCTGACATGCTCTACTGGTGCCACACACTTTCATGTAGCAGCAGTACCACTTCGTTTGCTGATAAATTCTTAATGCAGGCAAGATTAGGCAAGCACTGGTGAAATAACGTGTAAAAAGGTCTTCACAGAAGTATTGTACGCAAAAGCAAAAGAATTATCTTGCAAGGCGAATTTGCAAGCATTTCAGGTGAGAACCTGGATCACCGCCGCTGAGTATCAGGCTTTCAAACACCGTTCAGAGAACCGTTCAGCGCATTTAGAAGGTGAATTTGAGATCAGCATTCCAAGGCACAGATGTAAAGTGAAGCTGTTGAAATTGCTCAAGAACGAAAGTAGCGCGTACCGTAGCTTTTGATGACGCAGGACCACAAGTTCAAAAGTTGGAATACTACGGCATACTTTAGCAAGGTGTGCACGTGAAATAACGTGTAGTAACGCTAGCGCTATGCACACCAGATCTCACCAAACGCTGAGGTCTCAAATCAAGTTAACTATGCACATTATCACGCTCAAAACCATTTTTTGACAATTACATTCGAGTTTGAAGACTCTACATTGAGTGCATGTGGAATGTGATAGCGATTTGACTAGCGTATACAGCGTATGCAGCGCACACATTCCTTCCCTTCGCATTCAAATCACCTTATTGTCTTACAAGAATGCTGGGTTGTGAACAAAACTTTCGCCCCAGGCGGGACTAGAACCCGCACCTCTCGCTTTCCGGGCAAGTGCGCTACCAGTTACGCTACCGGGGCACCATTTCATTCCAACTCAGCTTTTCATGGTATACTTACCATAGCTTGTCAGCACTCACACGTATAACGTGTTGCCGGTTAGCCGATATCGATGTTACGAAGTGAAGCCCTTATGCTTGACAAGCTTCCGCGCTTTTTCAACAATTCAAGAGGTCTCATGATAAATTCAAAAGATATTACGATGAAAGCAAACTTACTCCCTCCGTTCGTGGCCCATGATCTGCCATAAAGAAGAGAAAAGCGTCGTCCAAATGTTTTGTATTTCGTTTGAAAAATTCTAGAAAATGAGCGTCACTGTGATAGAGATCTCTGAGCGTTCCATGCGCTAGCATCGTCGGCCAGATATGACATGCTTTTGGAGTGCCTGAACTTAAGCTGTTATTAAAAAATATTCAATTTTGACTGACAGCATTTACATCGATGTAACAGAATGAGATAGTTCAATACACCACCTTGATGAGAGTATTAGACCAATAACATAGTCGAAGAGTGTGAAATAGTAGTTCAAAGGAAGGAAGTAAAATTCGTGAGCTCTACAGCAACTTTAACCAGAATTTCACCATTCTACAAGGAGGTCATCATCGAAAGAGGGGTTCGACAGGGCGACACCATCTCGCCCAAACTCTTCAGCGCCGCTCTCGAGAACGTCATGCGTCAACTGGAATGGGAAGACATGGGAGTGAAGGTCGACGGCCGGCAACTACACCACCTTCGTTTTGCTGACGACATCGTTCTTATAACTCCGAACATCGAGCAAGCAGAGCGAATGCTGGGGAGTAGATGAGAAGACGAAAAACATCCGATTTCGTGCCCACCTCTTCGATTCCGCTGTCTTCCTGCCCTAACCTACGCCTCAGAGACTTGGACTCTGCGCAGGCAGGACGAGCATGCGGTCAGCGTTATCCAACGCGCTGTCGAGAGGACGATGCTAGGAGTAACCCTATACACGCAAGTGCAGAGGGGAATCCGGAGTTCCGAACTACGTCAACGTCGAAGATCAGGGACGCTGCCGTTTTCGCCAAGGAATCGAAGATCAGGTGGGCCGGACACGTCATGCGATTTGGTGATAACCGTTGGTCCGTCGGGGATTCGTCGAAGGCGTTGGAATTTACACGCGAGTATTCTTCCTTTGGAAGACAATTACTTTCCTTAGTTGCATCTTTCGAAAATCTAAGAAACTTTTCCAAAGAACAGAATATACTTCTTCTGACAGGTGCTACGATCGTCCCAAAAGTCGGAGCAGCAATGAAAACCCTACTCCTCGTTCACCGATTCGAGGAACCTCTTTCAAAACCCTCAAATTGCTTAGGATAGGATACATCATCTCGATGGATTAAACAGGAAATGACACACGTTGTGCAGATCCATCCCGTTCTGGTATGCGCCATGCAGTAACTTACACCGATTCAATTGAAAGGTGCTTTAGACAGCTTTCTTGTGCAAACCTAAAAAGTGTATCTAGTCTCAACTAGAATAACTTTCAGGCCTATAGTATAGTGTGACCTTTATGTCATCCACGTCACTTATTTTTCTGATGGTTGTAAGTGTTTGCGGTTGTAGCATGACTGATGTCAAGAAAACTGCGAATCTCCCCGTTATGAACTGTCTACTGAATTCTTGCTGCTAAAAGGGTTCTGAGAGCGCTTACACTAATTTAGACTAAATAATTTTACGAGACAAGCATCCCCTAGGTCATCATACTGATAGCGACAGGGCTTTCCATTTGTTATCTTGTTTTATTTATTTATTTACTATTGCACTCAAGGTGCGCCTACGACAAGTCGGCATGCGTATAAATACAAAGTTGACTGCTAGAAAAATTCAACACACGCCTAGATTAGCGACCTAACTATGCAGAATGTGTCCGTAGGAAATAATGAATTTGTCAGCATTGGCGACCCTTGAAAATGAACGTGAATGAGAAGCTCTTCAAAGAATTCAACCACTACAACATACTATTAGGTACCGGATATCTTAGTGTCGCTTTTCTGAGTTCAGGAAGTTTTGGGGCCGATTACTATGGAAAATCAATATCCCAGAAGGCAGTTTTTGCTCATTAATATTGCGAAATATGTTGCTTACCGTCTTCTATTGTTGGTTCACAATTTAACTTTCCCCCAATTTTTATACTTTCTTCTGAAAATTCCTGGGTCCAGTGTGCAAATTCGCATGTGTGTACCAAATGCATCAAAATTCTTGCTGAGAGCTGTAACCTCCGCCCACCAAACCAGCATTGCATTTGATGGAGGGAATACTACCATTTAAAATGCTCATCGGTTTTTCACAGTTTTCTTAAAAGACAGTAAAGTCTTTGAAGGGATGCCCGCAACCGTCGCCAAAAAGGTGGTCCTAGCTAAATCAGTCAAAACGGGGCTGCACCAGTCTTGTGCTGGAATGGTAGGACACCCTAGCAGTTACTGATCGATGGTGCACAGACGCTCTAACGAAGTTGATTGACCAAGAAATTCTAATAAATGTGCTCATCTGCTACTCACGTGTGCTCAAAAAGGGTGCGCTTTTGACCCCACGTGGCAAAAAAGACTCCGGGAAAAATTGTCCAGTTGAGCTGGTAAGTAATAAATTTTCCACCAAACAGTGCAGACCCTACTCTAACTAAATGTATACATATTTTGTCCAGGCCCAACTGTTTAGCAAGGTAGAGGGATGATTTGTCAGATGATGTCAAATTCGACCTACCTCTCTTTTTCGTCTCAAAAAATTCCTAACTTTAATCGTACGAGGTTTTCACTCATACTGGTAAATGGGAAAGGGCTAATGAGTCATTCGATGGATATGCCGTTTCACTCACTGGATTTTGAATAAAATATTGGTGGTCCGAACTCGCGTGGTGAAAAAAACGACACTAAGATATCCGGTACCTAATTAATAATAGATTGGTCTTACATCGCATAGGCTGATAACGAAGGAGAGCGTGGTCGGTCTCGGCAACGCAACTATAGGTTATGCACTTAATACAAGACGCATAAGAAACAGCCTTTCTATGAATTAAACCAGAATACGAGTACCAGTGAAATATGGAATGATAAAACGATGAAGGAGGGAATGAGTTTTCAAAAAGATCAGGACTCATGATCACTGAACTACTCGGGTTCAAGCAGGTTAAAGCCGTTCCAAAGGCTAAACTCCAAGTGACCGTAGCGCAAGTAATTTGTAAAAGATTCACTACTCAGAGAGGGTGCAGTTCAGAAAAGGTGGGCTCACACCCTAACGGGAGCCAACGCCGTTTCCGACGGTGAGATGCGCGCACAATCTCTTTGGTCCTAGAGGTCATTTGGTACGGTGACCACCGCGGTCATCGGCACATCCAGGACTCACTCGGAACGATCCTCGTGATTCGCAACACTTGGAGTAACCCTTTACAAAAGCAGAGAGACATCCGGAATTATGAACTAAGCCGGGGTCGAAGATCAGGAACGCTGCCGTTTTTGACAAATGGTCAAAGATAACATGGGCCGGACACATCATCCTACTATATATAAGTGGCAAAGTATGTCTGTCTATGTGTGTGTGTGTCACGGCGGCTAGGTAGCGCACAGTGCGAGAGGGACGCGGGCTATGCTCTTGAGGGGAGCAGTGCAGTGCGAGAGAGCAAGCGCCAGACGGCGCGAGAGAGCATGCGACAGAGAGTCGGGGTTGGAGGCGTAAGGGCGAGGGAGTGCGCGCTTTGAGAGAACCGCGTTTGCGAGCGTTAGGCTAAGGTGATGGGGGTGACTCATGCGGAAGGGGAGGGGGATGGTCGCGGTTGGCGCTCATTTCAAAAACGCCAGCAGCAGATGGAGGGTACCCCCCAGGAGGCCCGTCGCGCGGCAAGAAGGCAAAGTCAGCGGACGAGTCGCGCGTACTATAGGGATTTCGCGTCAAGTTAAATAGAGTGTCCCACTGCACGTCCTACATCGCACACCACGCGCTGCAACTCGTCCGCCGACTCTGCCTTCTTGCCGCGCGACGGGCCTCCTGGGGGTACCCCAGAATAGAGCGCGCGGAAGCGTGCGTGGCCGTCTTCTACTATTATAATTTGTGATGACCGTTGGACCAAGCGGTTACCGACTGGATCCCTCGGGACGTCAAACGAACACCTGGACGACCGCCGGCCCGATGGTCAGACTTCTTCACGAAAGCTCTGAACGAAAGGAATGAAGGACGTGTCCCTCGAGCGAGGAGGATCCACTCTTAGCACGCGACAGGGACGAATGGAGACGTTGCTGGCGCCCGCTCGAGCAAATCGACGATCAATAGGATAAAAGGTGACGCAGGTGATAGATCATGGGAGGCAACTCTATTCTGAAAAGTTAACGCCTCCATCTATATTGACCTTTATTGGAGTGATTCGGAGTAAATCGCTTGATAAAATGCGAAAAGTTTCTGCGCGAGCTCGAGGCGCGCCGCATCTCTCCTACGATTTGGGCTAATGAGAAAATTTTCGAACTAAACTTCTTCGCGACCATCGCCGTCGTTGTTATCAAAAAACGAGAGCAAGTCTCCGAGATAAAGTTTGGCACAACAGACTTTCTTCCGAAGGTGTGGTAGTTTGTGATGGGGCGACATTCGTAGTGGAGCTCCATTAGTGTTTTCTTCAAAAATGTTTGAAAAAACTCAAATGTCTTGCAAAAGAATATGTCGAGGTACGGTATGTTGTTCTGGATTCGCGAACATTCTGTTGAGCAACCATTTGCTCAAATCAAACCAAGCCGTTCTGGACGCTCAGAAGTTGTGGGACGATATCGCCGTTGGCTACTTACGGCGCACTGCTGATTTTGTCGTTGGACGTCAGAAGGTGTTTGTCAAAGCAGACTCGTCAAACTAAGAACATCTCTTTTCCTAGTTATCATAGTCAAACTCAATCTTTTTGTAGAGGTGGTTTCTTAATAGAGTCCACTTCTTGGCTTCTACTTTCAGAAACTTGGCGTTCTATTAGAATTACACGTGTAAACTATGATCTGTTTCCTAGACAGCTTTCGATGGAAATCCAAAGACCATATGCCTCCCAAATCTGATGACGTTATCTTATCAAGAATAGCGAGAGAATAGACCTGGATACGCATTCATAAACTTCTCCATAAACTCCAACATTTCTAGATGTCGCTCACTACAATGAGAATCAAAGCTTTTCAGGAGATGTTTTGATTCGAGCAGTCGAATTTCAAAAGGTCTGAAAAAATAGTTCGCAACAATGAGGATTTCTGCATAAAGCGATGAAGTAGTTGCTGAAATATTGACTCTGAAACGCGAAATAC